TTCAACATACTAAAACAATCTCAGTAATTGAGTAAACATAACAGCAATACTTACAGTTACAGTGCTGTAATGTTTTGCAAAAATAGAGCAAATATTTATCTTTTGAAGCTCTTCTTTGTTCACAATTCTTTGTCCTACGTCTTCCACCAATTTACAAGTGGCGTCATGGAGTATAATTCTTACAGCAATGTCTCTTCACAACTGCCAAATGATATACTGACTAATCCTTGCGCAGAAATCAATTAATATTTTTGAATCTATGATTAGGTCCACCCCCTGGCTGAATTCCGATTGGATATTTTGGGACTGACCCAACCAACTGAACTGTTAGAGTTCTTGTTTGTCTTTCCATGGTGGGTAGAACATTGCCATTTACCTTGCTGGCTTCCTTTTGATCTCAGACCAATGAATAACACATGGGTGCAAGTTATAAAGTTGGACCAGAAAACTGAGTTTTATGGCAAATTACATAATCGCTTGACACTGGCCATCTGTGATTGTTCTCGTTTCAAACACATTGAAAATAGCCCCACGTTTATACATCTGGTTACCTAGCTTGAAGAACGTGACATATAAGATAAATAAACTTCCTGAAGTGACAATGCTCTGACTCATCTATTAATTATTATTGTCACAAGTATGGAAGGTGTTATTTATAAATGGAAACACTTTTGGAATGGTAAATGTTGTATGACATATTTAATAGGGAATATGCTGCATTCCTCTGGATCTATTCCAGCTGGGTCTTTTGTTGAGCATTCCAGATGATATCTGTCAGCTTTGTTCTTAAGAAGTAGACCCTTTCGTTTCTTTGGATGGATGACTTTTAAATACCAGCACACTTTTGATGGTGGTGTTGCTGATATGTAGGTTGTACTAAAAGTTGTAATTCTACTTCATAGGATGAATGGTGTTGCAGAGTGTCAAGATCTTGACACCCTCCCCATGGTGTAGGTAAACTGCTACTTGGATCTTTTACCAGAGACCTGAATGGGGGCATATTTCTTGATGATTCTTGAACCAGAGACCTGCATATGGGCATATTTCTTGATGATTATTGAACCAAAGACCTGAATGGGGGCATATTTCTTGATGATTCTTGAACCAGAGACCTGCATATGGGCATATTTCTTGATGATTATTGAACCAGAGACCTGAATGGGGGCATATTTCTTGATGATTATTGAACCAGAGACCTGAATGGGGGCATATTTCTTGATGATTATTGAACCAGAGACCTGAATGGGGGCATATTTCTTGATGATTATTGAACCAGAGACCTGAATGGGGGCATATTTCTTGATGATTCTTGAACCAGAGACCTGAATGGGGGCATATTTCTTGATGATTCTTGATATCTCCATTGTCATGAGTGGATTCATTTAACCAAAGTGTCTACATGTTTCTGTTGAAACAGGTGATCATTGTAGTATTGATCTATTGGTACACTATACAGTGACAAGCAGTTTCATGTAGGTTTTTGTCAGTGTCATTTATAAAGATTAGAAACAGTGTTGGGCCAAGTACTGTCCCCAGGGGTATGCCATGTGGCATAATAGCAATTATTGATTTGCCACAGTCTAGCATAGTCTGTTACCTCTGACATTGTAGGAGAGAATAGATTCACCTATGACTGTGTCGTGTGCCTCTATATTATGAGAACTTTCATGACATCTGGTATGAGACTTTGACAAAGGATTTGGAGAAATCTAAAATGGCCATATCAGCTCGAGTGTGGTGTCTTTGTCCAGGTTTCTGTCAGTGTCATCAGGACATCAGTGTTTCCCAGGATTTTTCAGCTTCAGTCCTTACTAGATTTCATTCGTAATGTTGTTTGCTAAGGTAGTCCATAATCTAGGAGACTAGGATATATTCCAACATTTTTTATACAACTGTAATTAGTGATACAGGGTGATAAGTTTCTGGTTTGGATGTCTTCTTGCATTGAGATAGGCATGAAATGGATGGTACTTCTGCTATGACTAGAGTATGCTGATAGATTGACACAAGGACTGGTGCTATTATTTCTTCACTCTCTTTCTGGACTAATATTGGCAGCATATCTGGAACACTTGCCTTTTTGAAAAAAAGTCTTCTCATGCATATTTCCATTCTTTAGATAAAATTACTGATCTTTGACACAGGTTCATATGGATCTCTGACAGGTTCTTATCGATCACTGACATGGGTTCATATGGATCTCTAACAGTTTTATCTGGATCTTTGACATAGGTTCATATGGATCTTTGACATAGGTTCATATGGATCTCTGACAGGTTCTTATTGATCACTGACATAGGTTCATATGGATCTCTAACAGGTTTATATGGATCTTTGACATAGGTTCATATGGATCTCTGACAGGTTCTTATTGATTACTGACATAGGTTCATATGGATCTCTGACAGGTTCATATGGATCTTTGACATAGGTTTACATGGCTATTATTCTTTACTTGGGATGCTATGCATTGTAAACATTTATGTGAAATGTTCATTCAGCAAGTCTGCTTTTGTTATGATCAGTTTCTGCAACTGCCATTTGATTTTTATGTTCCAGCACTCATGGTGTCTTGCTGCCTAAATGTTATTGTGCCTGTTAAATCTCATGCTGGGAGAAAATAAAACCTCCCAATTTGTGTGAACATTCCTCACCTACCTCTCATTCTCACAATATCTCCCAATACTTTTCAGAGGACTTTGATTATTACATTATGTCTGCCAGTCTCAATTTCTCTGAAAAAAGTTATAAATAGATATATTGTATGCAATCAATGGAAGCCATGTTCTATTTTATCATCTGTGAATATTGTTGTGACAAAATAATTAATATTACACTACAACATTGTTCTTTTTCTTCATTCAACAGAATCTTAAGATTAAACATTATTCTTGTAAATTTAAATTTTTTAAGCCGTACAACAATACTATATAGTAGTAAAAAAAATAAACCATAACCATAAAATTGTCATCTATTAGTTGCAATTACATGAATGATTACTGTGAATTCTATGTAATTTTCTCTACAGGCAAAATCGCATCTCCATTCTAACCAAAGAAATTTACACCAGTAAATGTCTGATATTCCTGTACTGTATATATAAACTTTAATTACCATGAGTAAATTAAAAGAAGAAATGAAAAAATATATCATACAGTATATATGCCAGACATAACTAATTCAGTATAAATATTTGATTTAGTAAACAGTGTTACTTGTCTTAAGTGTTGACCTTAAGGAAATAATATGGCATATAAAACATGGGTAAAACAGGTTCCACATATAACTTGTGATTGCACATTTGAATTGTTATGATGAAGTCCTTGGCACTGCTAGTTACAACAAAATATGGCATAATTTATTTGTCAGTCAATTGCTGGTGCTTACATACACACTGTAAAATATAGTTTCTTTGAAGTATGTCCAAAGGGCAGTCCTTTTCACAAGATAAGTGCAATGATACATATTAACTATTTAATTAGCCACATTGGTTTTATTGCTTGTTTACTTAAGTCTAACTTGTGGTAGCAATTGTGCAGTTTAGCCACAGCAGACCAGAATATGAAAACGGGGCATGTCCAGAGGGAAAATAAGGCATTTCACAAGGAGAAATGGTACATTCCATGGGCGCTTGCACATTGGGGCAAGAGGGTCCTGTAGATTCACCTTTAAACATGTTTAGGCTTACATTCATAAAATCTATTAACTGACTACTATATGTTTACCCCCTCCCTACACCCTCTGAAAAGTTTGTGTGTGTGACCCTGGCACATTCTTTGAGAATTTCATGCATATTGGACCCAGAAGATCTGTAAATATTGATTAAAACAGTGTTTGAAAAATGCAGGATAAAAATCTCCTGATTTAGGTCCAAAGTTCCCTATTTTTGTGTTTAATACTTCTACTTGGCTTTTTGAAAGTTGGTAGGTATGATTTTAAATATTTCCAAAATTCTTTGAGTCACAGTCTAATTCTGTATTCAGTAGGTTTTTAAGATTGCTGTAATAAGATGCATGTACTTAATTCCTTGCTGTGTGATGAAGGTCTTAAAATTGTTCGTTTTCTTTATCAGTACAGTATTTTATCTATGGTATATCTGGTATTCATGGTATATCTGGTTTACAATTGCTTTTATTCTTTGGGATACTTCTTTCCATACTTTGAAAGTCTGGCTAAAAAGACATAAACCAGTCTTTTTCCTACCTGGCTTTAACATAAATATCTAAACATAGTTTGATGGTGTTTTGAGGAGATTATATTTTCCTGTAGATAATGCTGTCATCAGCATATAGCCTTAGACTGCTATATTGAAGGTTTTCACTGTAGTCATTTATGTTCATTAGGAAGATGACTGGGAACCATTCCTGAGGGACATTAGAGTCACACTGATGTAGTCTGACTTGTCTTACTAGAACAACAGTCTGTGTCCTGCTCTGTAGAAAGTCTCAGACCCATGATATTACTTTAGAAGTAATGAAATTAAAATATAATTTATAAAAAAGTCTTTTGTGTGAAGTACTTCATCAAATGCATGAGCTAACTTGATAACTATAATATTTGTTTTGATATTTGAATTGTTGATTTTAGCAGGTGCAGTATAAAGTCAAGTTGTGTTTCATAAAAACATTGGGATCAAAATCCATATTGCTTTTCATACTGCATTTTCTTCATTCCTTAGTGACTTGTTATAGAGGTAGGTTTTGTGTGTTCCATAAGTTTGTAGGTAATACATTAGAGAGATAGGTAAATAATTAAAGGGGTCATACATTTTCACCCTTTATTGAATACAAGGCTGATATATGCTTCTTTCCAGTCATCTGGTATAATATATGCATTTATTGTTTAAGAAATCAGCATATCCAACACTATCTCTTTTAGAATGTTTTACCCGTTTTGCATGAAAAATATTGAGAAGGCTGATGTACCCATTTGCCATAGACACATGTAATATTTGTTACAGTTTATTTGGTCTGTGGTACAGTCATGATACTACTGCTCCAGAGGCCTAAGTGGTTAGAGTGTCTGCCTTGGATGCAGGAAGTCATGGGTTCAAACCCTGGCAGAATCATACCAAAATCTTTTAAAAATGGTACTATTAGGTGGTGCTTGGCATTAATAGGTTAGTATTAGGATTGGTCAGCCTGGTATCAGGATAATGTGACTGGGTGACGTCATGTCTGCGGCATGATGCCCTGGTGCTAGACGTCACTATCAACTGCTACACTGCAGACATTGTAACTATACAACTGAAAATTGTTAAAGCTATGTTAAAAATACAAATCACACACACACACACACACACACACACACACTGTCATAATACTATTTTATCATAGACAAATATCATGACATGTATTTTTGTTAGTTTATTTAGGTCTGAGATAGTCTTTATACTATTGTATCAAAGACAGATATCATGACATGTATTTTTGTTACAGTTTTTTTTAGGTCTGTGATAGTCATGATACTATTGTATCAAGAACAGATATCATGACATGTATTTTTGTTAGTTTATTTAGGTCTGTGATAGTCATGATATTATTGTATCAAAGACAGATATCATGACATGTATTTTTGTCAGTTTATTTAGGTCTGTGATAGTCATGATACTATTGTATCAATAACAGATATCATGACATGTATTTTTGTTAGTTTATTTAGGTCTGTGATAGTCATGATGCTATTGTATCAAAGACAGATATCATGACATGTATTTTTGTTACAGTTTTTTTTTTAGGTCTGTGATAGTCATGATACTATTGTATCTATCATGATACTATTGTATCAATAACAGATATCATGACATGTATTTTTGTTAGTTTATTTAGGCCTGTGATAGTCTTGATACTATTGTATCAAAGACAGATATCATGACATGTATTTTTGTTACAGTTTATTAAGGACTGTGATAGTCTTGATACTATTGTATCAAAGACAGATATCATGACATGTATTTTTGTTACAGTTTATTAAGGACTGTGATAGTCATGATGCTATTGTATCAAAGACAGATATCATGACATGTATTTTTGTTACAGTTTATTAAGGACTGTGATAGTCATGATACTATTGTATCAAAGAGATATCATGACATGTATTTTTGTTACAGTTTATTAAGGACTGTGATAGTCATGATGCTATTGTATCAAAGACAGATATCATGAGATGTATTTTTGTTACAGTTTATTAAGGACTGTGATAGTCATGATACTATTGTATCAAAGACAGATATCATGACATGTATTTTTGTTACAGTTTATTAAGGACTGTGATAGTCATGATGCTATTGTATCAAAGACAGATATCATGAGATGTATTTTTGTTACAGTTTATTAAGGACTGTGATAGTCATGATACTATTGTATCAAAGACAGATATCATGACATGTATTTTTGTTACAGTTTATTAAGGACTGTGATAATGTTGTATTGTAGACAAATATGACAAGTACTGTGATACCTAACTGTTTTAATACATGTTGGTTTTTTTACTTTAAATAAATAATTCTGAACATTTATTTAATGAATGGCTGGCAATATTTGAAAATACTTGTCCAGTGTGACAGTTTGGATGCAAATATTAGGTTACATGTCCAAATTAGAGTTTCAGTTGTGATGAACAATCAAACAAATGTTAACTGTGAATAAGTGTAGTTATTTTCACATCCAGGGTTTGTTGTGATTGAGTCGGTGCCAGTTCAAAACAGATTGGTGCTGTTTTAAAATGGCACAAAAACCCAACTACCAGTATTTGTCTAGATTATTAAATATAGATGATTGTTTGTTTTACATGTGTGTACAGAAATCTGAATTGGACAACAGTGGTAGAATTATTTTAACAAGTTTTTAGTTACATTAGTTGCATGATTGTATGAACATTCATAAACTGTAGCAAAGGACAGCTGCAAAATCTTATTTTGTTTCATTAGCATTCAGAATACAGAGAAACTCTTAGAAAATTATGTTTTTTTTCTGTTAAAAATATATTTATGTGGTAAACCTGACTACAACCTTATTAGTCCTGAAATTAGATTGTCCAGATGTACCAACTGCATTATCTAACTTGATTAAAGACTGGCTTGCTTATGTGTGTAATATAATTTTTAAACAATCTGACAGGACACTAATATTCAAGGATATAAACTGCACCATCATTTAAAATAAAATGGTTGTACTTATGCAATGTTTGGTCACAAATTATGATCATAAACAGAAGACGTCTGTTGTTTTCCTTTTCCCTTTCATTTTTATAACAGACTGCTCCGATGGCATAGTGGTTAGAGCATCCGCCTCAAATGCGAGATGTCGTGGGTTTGTTCCCATTGTTGAGTCATACCAAAGATTTACAAAAATGGTACTAACAGCTGCCTCGCTTGGCGCTCAGTATTAAGAGGTTAGTGATAGGACTGGTCAGCCTGGTGTCAGGATAATGTGACTGGGTGGGACATAATGCTACATGTCTGCAGCATGATGCCCCAGTGCTAGACATCACTATAAACTGCCACACTGCAGACATCATAGCAATATGACTGAAACATTGTTAAAGCTACGTTAAAAATTATAATTACATCACATCACATCATTTTTATAACAAAAAGGATCCATTCAATTAGGATGTTTCCAACCAGAAAGCATGAAAAGGTCATAGTGGTCATTGATTTTTTTAATGTCATGTGATCAGTTGATCGCAAATCTTTCAAAATATTAAAAAAGATATTTAAAGATATCATTTTGGCACTCATCAGGAGAGATTTATGAAAGCAGCAAATATGTGGATTCAGATAAGATTTAGAGTTATCATTTAGGCAGTTATCATGGGAGATTTATGAAAGCAGCAAATATGGGGTTTTCACATAGGGAAGATTTAACATTAAGTTTAAACAGAGCCTTAGTATACATTTTGCTATATAATATTTTGTTTGTTTTTTAATTTCAATCAGATAGATTTCTAGTATGGAAAGTGAGGAGCAGAAAGAACCAGACATTATCAGTACACATGCGGTGAAAACCAAATGTTCTGAGGGAAGTTTAGTTGATGATGAGGGAGGTTTTTTAAATGCCAGTAGGTCCTGTGACAGACAAAATGTACTGAATAAAAATGGAACTCCGGATGTTATCAATTCAGCCAAATTAGACAGTATGAATAAAGATACAGCTGAAGACAGTAAAAAGGAATATAAGTCGAGTCCTCACAGAGATGAGTTTTATGATGGTGATACAAGTCTCATTGTTCAAGAGGAACTTTCTCCACATGGAAATACCATGGTTGCATCTCATGGAGAGAGTGGGTATTTAACAGATTCTGTCCATTCTGTTACACCTAGAGGAGATAGGCTTGAGTCAGTGGACTCCACTGAAAGTTCAGTCACATATCGAGAGTCTCGTTCACCAAATGACTTTAACAGTAATCATGAGGAGGGTAGTTCAGATGAGAAGAGCACAGATACTCTTGAATATTTAGAGAGCAGTGATAAGAGTCCTGCATCAAAATCGAATCGTTCAGAAAATTTAGATTGTATTCCAAGGCCAGATAGTCTTTTGCTACCAAAATCTCTTCAAATTTATGAACAACCAAAAGAAAGTTCTGTGCAGTCATTAGCCAAAGAAGTGAAGACACGGAAATCTCATGACAGACAAAGGAGCCAGAGCTCAGCCATTCCAATTTCACGGAACAAGGAGAGAGTTGATATTTCTGAGGAAAATCTGTCTAGAAGTTTGCCTCATGGCATGATCATGAGGAAAGGAGACATGATAGAATTTATTGCAGATGATCTTCAGGAGATGATTCGGAGAAGCAGTCCGAGATCCAGGACAGGTTGGTGTTTTTCTAATTGACACTTTGTATTAGCATAGTTCCTTCCTTCATGAATGCATTGATTAGATATCATTGATGGAGTTGATACTGAAATATAAAGCATACTAATGTTATAATTTGTATGCAGTTTTAAAATAATTTAACCTTTGGTTTTGCTGTAGTAAAATTAAAAGCAAAACTTAAAAGGGTCACATTGTCATTTTATTTAGTCTATCATGATCTGTCCGGTCGGTTTTGCAAAACTGAAACTACTTGTATTTAATTCAGAAAAGTTTTTTTCAGACTTATATTTTGTTACATATAGTTTACATGTTCTTACAATTTTGATTTTGTTGTAATTACACTTTTAATGCCTTATTGGCTTCATCATTTCAAGAGAAATGGGAGCTAAATGTCTTCCCAAAGACACACCAAGGCAGCTGATCCAGGCTGGCCTGGATAGGTATCAAACTCGTGGCTCTTGGATAAAGAGCCTGGTGTTTTACCAGTTGAATTGGCATGACTATCATGTTCTTACATACACATATATGCATAATACTGTCAATTCATTATTTTTATGTTGCTAGGATTTTCATGGATTTCATGACTGTTACAGACCAAGAAATGAAAGACCCATATATTATTAGGTGTAAATTGATAGAAACTAGGAATAATAGGCACAAATAACAAAAGGCATTACTTGTATGTTATGTAGAACATGATAAGCACAGGTAAAAAAAGGCATGATTTGTTTGTTATGCAGCCTCTTGCTAAGCACAAATAACAAAAGGCATGGCTTGTATGCTATCCTGAACTCATGACAGGTACAAATAATAAAAGGCACAGCTTGTATGCTATCCTGAACTCATGACAGGTACAAATAACAAAAGGCATGGCTTGTATGCTATCCTGAACTCATGACAGGTACAAATAACAAAAGGCATGGCTTGTATGCTATCCTGAACTCATGACAGGTACAAATAACAAAAGGCATATCTTGTATGCTATCCTGAACTCATGACAGGTACAAATAACAAAAGGCATATCTTGTATGCTATCCCAAACTCATGACAGGTACAAATAACAAAAGGCATATCTTGTATGCTATCCTGAACTCATGACAGGTACAAATAACAAAAGGCATATCTTGTATGCTATCCCAAACTCATGACAGGTACAAATAACAAAAGGAACAGCTTGTATGCAATCCTAAACTCATGACAGGTACAACTACCAAAAGGTACAGCTTGTATGCTATTCAAACTCATGAAGACAAAAAAACCCAAACAAAATGCATAGCTTGTATGCTATTCAAACTCATGAAAACAAAAAAAACAAACAAAATGCATAGCTTGTATTCTATTCAAACTCATGAAGACAAAAAAACAAACAAAATGCATATCTTGTATGCTATTCAGACTCATGAAGACACAATAACAAAATGAAATGCATGGTTTGTATGCTATGCAGATTCATGATAGTGACAAATAACAAAAGGCATGGTTTAAATGTTATTCAAACTCATAAAGACAAATAACAAAAGGCATGGTTTGTATGCTATTCAAACTCATGAAGACAAAAAACAAAATGCATGGTTTCTATACTATGCAGATTCTTGATAGTAACAAATAACACAATGCAAAGCTTGTATGTTATGCAGACACATGATAAGTATGTTATAGTAAATTCAGCAGAAAAATTATTTTCTAAGTCACACAGAGCTTTTTAAGGTGCAAGTTATGACATTATCCCAATTGTCAATACATTTATATGAGTAAATACTTATGTACATACTCATTTGTCTCAATTTTTCTGTCTTTCATGATAATAGACAACAGTTTGTAGTGAGTTTCATGGTATCTACCCACCCACCTGCACCCATAGTGGATGGGGTTATAAGGACAAACTTTGTACATTTACATTTATGTAAGTTGTACAGGTTTGTTTAATAAAAATTTTAATTAAGTTTTTTTGTACACTTTAAACATACAGTTAGGCCTTGGGTCATAAAACATGGTCAGAGGATGCATTTGATGAGTATTACATTCTTGTCACAAAATCAGGTTACTGTAACCCATATTTCATATGTATTGACATTGATAAAATTGAGTTCTAAGTTTATTTCATAAGCTCTATTCATACTAAAACCCATTAAACTAGATAAATTAAACTAGGTGTTGCTTACAAAAATACCCTGTAAAAAGTTAACTTTAACCTGCATTTCTTTTTTGGCTGGCTTCATCAGTTAGGTTTTTACATTAGCTTTTAACCAAACATTGTAGATTTTTTAGTATCATGTACACATGAAATTTGATGAAGAGGTAAATAAAAAAAATAAGCCACTGACTGAGTCAGTAAAATATGCTTTCATACAGTAACCAAAATGTGAACTCAATCAAAATGTGACAGTGTTTGCAAGAAAAAACCTAAATAGATTATTCAGTGAACATGACAGGTCATGATGGGTCAACCTTTCAAGAAAATTGTACTAGGGCTTGCAATGATTGATTACTAGGTTTATGCATATTTATGAGTCCTGGGGAAATCTTACTACAGGTAAGCCACAGGTGACATACAGCTTAATGAATTTTGACCTTAGCACATATTCATGCATTCATATCTTCATTTTTCTGCATCAGTACCTGTATTCAACTACAGCAAATGACTGGATATTAGTTATATCATTTGTACCCTGATACCTAGAAGACCTGTTCCACCTGTGTAAATAGAATTAATACAGTCCACAGGTTATTTTCTGTTCTATGGAACCTTTGTTTATGCTATTTTAAGTTATTGGAGAATTTAGTATGACCTTTGTTTTAATTTTATTTTAAATTTTTTAGAAGTTATTTTTTCCAAAGTTAATATCCTTGACTCTTGTATGTACAACTACCAAATATATTCATGTTGTTTGTTGGCACCAGAATCCAGTGGTTTAAGCAGCAGTACATCAAGTCTCAGAAGCATTAACAGCACTTCTAGTTCTGCTTCCTCTGCCATGGGAACATCCTTTACCTCTGGAATGTCAAGGTCAGCTAGTAGTTTCCTTCAGCAGAGTCCTGATTCCATTCCTCCAATCGACCCCCAGGCGGTGATAGAGTTGGAGAACCAGGCCAGAATGGTAGCAGATAGCTTGGACTTGATGATGGGAAATCTCAAGTCAAACTTACACAAGGTAAATTCAGTGAATCATGTTCATTAAACTATAGCAATCTGAATAAAATGTTCTTAATTTAAATGTGTCTGTGTGTGTGTATGTATGTGTGTGGGTGTCTGTGTGTGTATGTATGCATGCATGTGTACACCTCCAGCTATGATAAACTGGCAGTCCCATGATGTTACCACTCATTGATCTAAAGTTTTTAAAATTAATTTTGATTTTGAATCCCTGAGTACTATCTTTGTATAAAGGAAAATGAACTGATTCGTTGACAGCTCTTTGGAATTGAATAAACAGCATTTTCCTGACAGTTTGTGGTTATTAAAGTGGGGTGGAGACTTGGGGATTTGTAAGTTAGGAAAACTGTTTTATTCTCCTA